AGTTCGTTAACAGAGGCGTTCGTAACCCGAGGTACCACTGTACTAGGATTTCCCAGTCAGTACAGTGTGGTCATTGGTGATACGGGGCAGCATTAGAGAATTGTCTTCCCAATTCATCCAGAAGCAACTTTGTTATGGAAGACTGGAACACTTGATACTGGGAGACTCATACCCATTATGACTTAAGGCACTCACTAGCTTGAAAGCTGTCCAGGGCACTGGCTACACCATCCAAGCTCAGGAAGAAGTCATCCCCATAGAAGTGTTCTGTGTCAGGCCCAACCTGATTCTGATGAGCTGTCACATTGATATTGGGATTCATAAGTCTTATGGCAGTTGCAGCCACTTCTGACTTCTGCTTCTATAGAAACAAAGGAAATATAATTAGATCTAGGATTAAAATTGGTCATTGACCAAAGTACAAAAATGGAAGTCAAGCCAGAAAACAGACTTTCTTCTTTTACATTAAAAACCAGTTTGCTAGTATTCTGACCTGCAGCAAAACTCAAAATTTGTAAAGTTACCACTCTTATTGCTCCCAGACTCTTTCCCGCCATCTTGCCTGCATGACTTACAAATACATCTTCTGGTTGAAATAGGAACTGCCTGTTGAGGTTGGACTTTTCAATGATGTCCATGTCTGTCACAGTGATCTTCCCACCCTCGCCAGCAGCCAAGCCAATCATTGCAAAATTCTTCAAGAGCTCAGAGCCAATCGCACCTGCTCCCACCTAAGGAAGTTGTACATAATAAGACTGGTTGAGACCCCATGACATTTTGGAACCACATCAGAAACTGGAGACAGCTCCTCAAATTATATATGGTTGGTTCTGATCAACACCTGTCCTATATACCTTTCCTCCACCTGCATATTTTTAGCCTGATCCTCATGGAATTTCGATAAAGTGTGCATGGCAACTACAAAGCCTGGATAGAAGTATTCACATTAGAAAACTGCTATAAAAGTCTCCAAACTTTCTGAATGCAATTCTGGGAGAAGGATTGAAATAACAAACTGAATGATCTCCCTTTTTGAAAACTGAACTCTTGACCACATTTTATATTACAGATGTCAGTTAGCTAAAAAATGTAAAAACAGAAACACATGATTTTAGTATGTTTCCATTATAGCTGGTACACTAGACTAAATTTTAATTTTGCCATGGAATATGCACAGAAAAGAAACTCCACAAACTCATGAGATCCATATGCCAATTCATCAAATGTGTGAAACATATAAAGAACTATGCAAGGCCCTTCAAACAAGAAAAAGGAGTAAAACCGGGATGCAACGTCAACCCAACCCTCTTTTATCTTATAAATCAACTATCTACCAAATGTTTCTGAAATGGTTGTGAAGTCCAGGATTACCAGAATATGACTCAGCAGCACAAAGCCTGTTATATAGTGATGATCTCACCATGCTCTCACTTTGACAACAGAGAGTCAAGCAAAACTTCAAACTAAAGGAAAGATTTTGCAGAATGTAAATGTATCTGGCAAGGTGGAGGTGGAGGAACCAAATCCCGCTGGATTTAAGCAGTACATCAAAGACAACGCACATATTTATTTCACAGGTATAAATTGTATATAGCCTAATAATGATTGTGTCATTTGTCTTTAGCAAAGGTTATCTCAAAATTGCGAGAAGAGGTATTGAGAATGTTGATCTAATTAGAATGTATGCATTAATCAGATATAATGAGTGCTGTTTATTTCTGCCTATAATACTGTATGTGCTATAAAATATATCTGGCAAATTAAGAAATGTTAGTCAATTTTAAATCTATTTTATATGCATAACCAGCCTGCATGATATATGAACGACACAGAAAGAAACAACAGTTGGAGAAGTTTTGCCCTCCTCACAAGAGCTTTTTACAGCACTGCCCGTGCAGTTGAAGATTTGCTGATGGCATAACAAAATGCTTGACTAAATAGGTCTTTAAGTCTGAACCTGCAGGATGATTGTAGTCTTGTTTCCTGTCTGACTATTTTTCAAACATACTCTCATGGAGACTAGAAATTTGATCAATGTCAATCACTCCCAAGGTTGCTTGCTTCCTTCCGGTTCTAAGATACTCAGGGATCCATGCTGAAGTTCCCACAAATCTTTGCATTCAAATCTGCAAAAAGTGACATGCCACAATGTAAGATTTCATTACCATTGCTATCATAATTTTGTCCGATTATCCAGTGGGAGTGGTTTCAACATCTGGAGCCTTCCTTTGATACTCAACTCTGTTAATTAGGTTAAAATCCTTTCTGGTATCTATGGGAGCATTTCTGCCAGCAAATGATAAGTTCACCAAAACACAAACAAATGAAAAAGCAAAACTCAATAAAAGCCAGTAACAGCTGCAGGAAGGATCTAAGCCAGTTACTCATCATAGGAAAATAATAATTCTTCCTTTGGTGCCATCTCTCAGGCTAAAACTCTCAATGCTCCCTCTGCTGTGGAAAAAATGGAAGAAAAGGCACCAAAGTTTCTCTTTACAACAGCTGCTGGGTGACTGTGCAGTTTTCTGGCCTGCACTGGAAATAAGCTCATCAAAAAAAGTTTCGCTTTAATTATTGGAACCACAAAGGTCAGCTGGAAGAGCTGTAGATGTATCATCCTGACAACCTCAGAAGAGAAATGAGAGCCGGGGAGACAACAGACAACGCACTGACAATAAGAACATAGTACACAGCATAATTTGCTCAAACCAAATACACATATTATAATGAACCTAGTTAGCGTGTGGTAAGAATGTTGTTTCATGTGGTTTACAGGAGTAGCCTGCCTTACTCACCAGGAAATACTTCTGCTTCCCAAGCTGTTTTTGGAAGTCAGCCCCAAAGACAGCAACTTGCCCATCGTAGCGACTATCACGCTGTGAGAGATGGAGATGGCAAACATCAGAACATTAAGAGCAACATTCCAAACAGGAGGCAAAATGAAACCGATGCAGTTCCACATGGGTAGGTATGGACCTGTTCTCAGAAGATCAGAGTTGGCTGTCTTTATGGAATTCAGTGTCATGGAGGAGAGAGATGAAAATGTTTCTCTGAAAGCCACCAGTAGAAACCCTTCTAAACAGAGTTGTGACGGATCAGACCTGAGTGGTTTGGAAAAAATGCAAAGTACAGAATGTAACAACTCACTGGGGCACAGTTTTCCTCTGTCAGCTGCTCCCCTTCAGGCAGGCATTCATAGGCATCAAAGTACAGCCACTGATCCAAAGGGATGAACTTTCCCGAGACAGCCTGCAAGCAAAACAACATAGATGCTCTATGTTAAAGGTTATAATGAACATTTTGGAAGGTGAAGTCCAACACATCTGGAATGCTTGTACCTTAAGCTGCAAAGCAGGCCAAATTCCAAGTAGGTGACGTTTTTGCTTATTTAATCTCATTACTAAGAAAAGCCACATCTTGTTGGTGTTTGGTCTTCTACCCAACTGTTAAAGCCACAAAAGCCCATCAGGAAATGGGAAGATTCATACTTCTTCACCATTCTAGTTACTTCTCAGTGGCACTAATCTTGTTGAGCACTAACACCCAGGAACATCCAGGAACTTGAGAGAATGGCTCATCTATGCAGCAACGGCCAGAAAACAAATTAGTCTAGGAAAACAGAAAATCAAATGCTTTCAGCTGATACCCAACCCAAGATAGTCTGAGCTCTTGTGCTTTGGAGTCATCCCACATGAAATTAATTTCTTTATGGTGATTCAAATAATCTTTAACCCAGCCTTCTGCATATGTCACTTGCAACAAATCAGCTAGGGTGGCCAGTTATGGTGCTTTACACAGGATGGTCTCTAAGTTCAAAGTGCCTTCTATGATGAAGTCTTGTCAGTCCAAATCTAGTTGAAGAAGGCAAAATTGCAAAGGCCTTGGCATTGTCCCTGAATAATAGGCACACTGCTGCCTATCAAATTGAGCTGTATTAAAATTCTACTACATTTATAGTAATTATTCCTTCATTTGCATATGTATTATCAATATTATTACACACTGGATACAATCTATTCCCTCTTTCATTTCTTTTGGTTTATCTGTCATGAATGTTGTCTCTTTGGGCAATATACAAGTCATACTGTATCTCTGGGTGAAAGAGTAGTCATATAGCCAAAAGGGATCCAGCAAAGTTTGAAACTAAACACATTTTGCTAAATGAGGATTTTTTAAACCACATGTGCTCAGGTATAATGCTAATGTCTATCACTGTTTTTTTCTTCTTTTTGATGTTTCTATTTGTAGTCACCCAGAGTCGTTAAGAGTCAGGTGGCATATACATTTAAATAATAATAATAGTAGTAATAATAATAATGATGATAAGAAAGACAAAAAAGTCTGGATAGTGGACATTGCAATACCTGGACACAGCAGAATAGAACAGAAAGAACTGGAGAAAATCACAAAATACAAAGACCTGTAAATAGAAATAGAACAACTATGGCAAAACAAAGCAAAGATAGTACCAATAGTAATAAGTGCCTTGGGTGCAATCCCAAAACATCTGGAGCACCACTTGAAGACCATTGGCATTGACAAAATCTCCACTGGTCAATTGCAAAAGGCAGCTTTATTTGGAACAGCTTACATCCTGCAATGATACCTTTAACACTATCAAACAACATCTGCCTAACCTAGGTCCTTGGGAAGGACTTGATAGGTGGATAAAAATGCCAAATCCAGTCTAAACAACTGGCTGATTGTTTGACCAACAATAATAACAACGGTAGAGACAAACCAGGGGGAGTTGGTAGTAGAGGAAGCCAGCACTGCTACTGAACTCTTTTCATTCCCAAACCAGGCACCCTCTCTTCTACCTTCTCCTCAGAAAGAACAAGGTCCTCTAACTAAAAAACAAAAGGAACTGAAACAAAGAATAACTGAGCATCTAGAACAGCACAAAACACAGAATAAGGTTGCCTGCATTGAAGCTTGTTAAAAAAAAAACAGCTAACACAAGTATTAAAAGATGCCAATACTGTAATATCAAATATAAGCACCAGCTCACTGCAAGAAACAAACCAACTGATGTACAGCACAGC